ACGCCATTCTCCTGCCTCAGCCTCCCGAGTAGCTGGGACCACAGGCGCCCGCCACCACGCCCAGCTAATTTTTTGTATTTTTAGTAGAGACAGGATTTCACAGTGTTAGTCAGGATGGTCTCGATCTCCTGACCTCGTGATCCGCCCGCCTTGGCCTCCCAAAGTGCTGGGATTACAGGTGTGAGCCACCGCACCCGGTCTCTCACCACAGTCTTTAGGATGGAGAAAAATCACTGGTTGTCCATGTGCTCCTATTTTGACCTCTTCACTTAGACTGCGGATCTTCTTTTTTGTCAAATCCATCACAGCTGCATTAATATTATCCACCTTTGACCTTATCAAGATACACATGAAAATCACGATTAAATTGCCATCAAAATGTTATTCCCCATCTCGATGCAGATGTGATGCATTCCTCCAGCCTTGTTTTTCTGCAGAAAACCTGCAATTGGACTGTCACATCCCAGTGGATGAAGCAGTTCCATCTTGGTATTTCCCAGGTTGACAAAAACAACAGATACTTCATGTTCAGGAAGAGGGACCGCTTCACTTACCGGGGCCCCCAGAATATTCTTATAAAATGTTGCACGTTTTCCAGATCTGGCACTGCTATGGCTACATGATTGAGTCGACCACGGTTCCACACAGAACCTGCCATTTGATCCAAGGGCCGTGACGTGAAAGAAGCTCTTACTGTTGGTATGGGAGCTTGGAGTCTGGAAAAAAACCCCTTTGAGTGTTCCCAGCAGAAAGCTGGTCACGCCTGGAGTTCGGCCGAAGTAGTAGTTGTTGTTTTTACAGGACTTGCTCTCCTTTCTGGTTTCTCCCCAGTCTGGCATTCGCGGCTGCAGCCCTCAGCGCGCGCGCCATTTTGGAAAGCAACCCGCCACGTCCAGACCCGCCAAGGACCGTCAGTTCTAGTCTTACGTAGTTTCTAGTCTTCTTACGTAGTTCTAGTCTACTCCACCTAAAATCTCTTGTCAAGGTCACTTGACCCCTAATAAATTTAAAAAGTGTATTTTCATTTCTCATATGACTTAGCATATCAAGAACATTTGACATTTCTTCATACCCTTTTCTCTCTCAGTCTCTGGGTTTTAGTCTTTCTTGCTTCCCCTCAAAATCTCCTCACTGGTTACTACTCCTTAGTCTTGTTTGCTGGATCCTCATTCTTCTTACCTCCGAACTTTGGGGTATTATGGTAGTGCTGAGTTTTTTGGATTCTTTTCCATCAGTGCTCGATCCCTAGGATCTCATTCTTGTCTTTATATACCATTTATATAAAATAGCTCCCAAACTTATAAATCTTTCCTCTGCTTCTGTTCCGCAGACTTGCGTGTTTGTTCAGCCTGACATATTTATTTGGCTGTTCAATGGGCATTTCAAAATCAGTATTTCTGAAAGAAAATTACTGATTTTTTTCGCATACGTCTCTTCTCAGTCCTGCTCCCCTGGTCTTTCCCATGTCTGTTTGGCTGAAGCAAAACATTTAGGACTGGGTCCAGTGGCTCATGCCTATAATCCCAGCACTTTGGGGAGGCCAAGGTGGGTGAATTATTTGAGGTCAGGAGTTCGAGATCAGCCTGGCCAACATGGTGTATTTTAAAATACAAAAATTAGCCCGGCGTGTTGGCGGGCACCTGTAATCCCAGCTGCTTGGGAGGCTGAGGCAGGAGAATCACTTGAACCTGGAAGGTGCAGGTTGCAGTGAGCGGAGATGGTGCCACTGCACTCCAGTCT